CAAACGTTACTGTATGAGCGCCAAATTTAATTTAAAAACACTTCATTCATCTGCGCGCCAAAACCACAACAAACCAGATCAATTCTACAGAAAACACGACCAGTTCCGCCCATTAAAGAGTCAGATTTTTATTTAATGACAGAAAAATACATTTTAAAACATTTTCTGATCTCTTACAAATCTCTACACTGACCGCTCACACCTTGCAGGTGATCCACTCACCTCAGAGGTCAGCTTCATCCTCCCTGAGCTCCCACACACGCACTGGAAACCAGTTCAGCACAGCACACACAGTAAATCCCCACCCAAGCAGCTCCATGCTGGGAAAAAAACATCACGTGACCCTCGTGACCTCCCAGGCTAGAAGCAAAACAGCAGACAGAGGAATGTCCGTCCACTCGGGCTTGAGCCACATTCACAGCTGATGTCTCAGCCTCAGGTTGAAGGGAACAACAGCATCACCAACAATCACAAAATACCGAGATCACCGTCCAAACTCAGGATAATAAACCCCAGTCACACCAAAGTCCTCTGATCTGAAGACACAATGACTCACAGACTCACTTTCCTGAGTGGATGCTTAGTTGGTTCGCCTATGAGCGGTATTAGCTCCGCCCCCTCTAAGTCAACCACCTTCTGGTTGGCTGCCCCTCACAAGCTGTAGGATTGTTTATGCACACACTGGTCTTAGTGAAACTTTGGTCATGTTTAGTATGAATATTCACCACTAGAATAGGAGACATGAAGGAATATAAGGAAAAGTAGGATCATTTCAACACAAAACAAGAAGACAAATCGGGAGTGTTTTATCTTTTTAACTGATTCGCATCTCTAAGGACTTGGATTTTATATTCCAGGTTTCTCCGAAATGCAGCTTTAAACGGGCACACTTGCACTTCACACTTAGCAGAGGTGGCCTGAGGGCTTTCTTCCACTCTTTTAAGTCCTATTATCTCATACTCTCCCTTTCTATTATGATTTTTTTACTGTGTTATATTGGGTTATCAACCCATCTGTTTCAAGTAAACACCTAGATGTTCTTCTTCGATAAACAAATACAATTTAATGTGTATTTTCCTGTTTTGTGGTATAGATATCCATAAAACAAGAAGGTAACTTAAAATGAAACTAAAGTCGTAACTCTTAAATTTGACATTTTGTGAATGGAGTCTGGCGTGGCGCTGGAAGCAGCTAATAAACTGTGTCACGGTACCGTTCACATGACAGGTGCAAGGAGGAGTTTTATGCTGCTCTCTGATAAATTAATATCTGAAGTTAACCATCGTTATCTAACAATAGTTTGTTCGGTTTTGTGCGTCTGTCAGTAAACGGGGACTTTAAGTTTTTAAATTAGCCTCCTAGCTAAAACCAAAAACACAGCCTGTAGCATTAGCGTTCCTGGGGATTTACTGTTGCCTTAGCGTAGTGACACGTTAGCGTTTCCAAACACGGAATTGAGCCAACAGATGTGATGATTTGGAAGAAGACTGATTTTACCTGCTATTAACGAGTCCCTTCGGTCATCCAGGGTTTAGCATGTCAAAGCCAAACAGCCTCAGCAGCAGCAGCCTGCCAGGAGCCGTACGAGCTTATCAACCTTGCGAGACGAATTGCGATAAATAAGCTGCTAAAACGAGCCGATTCGCCGATTATAGCGTCCTGAGTCCGATTCCGTCCAAGTAAAACTTTTACAGAAGAAGAAACGCGTTCATGTACACGAACGTTTCATTTATGGGATCTGATGTGGACAAATTAAAGGGGAGAAGCGCACCGGGTCACACTGCCCTCTACTGGCCAGTGCGTGTACTACACAAACACACTGGCTCACACCGACCCCTACAGGCCAGCGCAGTGTACTGCACCATTTTCAACTTCTGTAGCTCTCCGTCACCATCATTACACCCACACTTCCAGGTCTCTGATAGGATCAGAGCTCAAGACCACACATTTCATCAAGCATTATTTTTTATGTCACTTTATTTTATCTATTTTGTGCTTGTTCTCAATTTTATTTACTTCCCCAGTGCTGTCTCCACATTTAATGATTTCCATTATTTCCATGCACTAACCTGCATGTAAGATGCTATACCAAGTTTGCAGGATGTATATACATTTTAAATAGTAGTGACAGAAGCAGTTTATGGTCACCCCTCAGGATGTACAGACGAGCC